GCGCCGTGCTCGAGGCCCTGCCGCAGGCCACCCGCCCTCCCATCCCGCCCCGGGCTCACACCGTCCCGGGCGGCTCTCTCCCCTCTGTCGCAGCGCCCTCGACCTGGTCCCTTTTGGGATCAAACCCCTCCTCAGGCGGGCCGCGGCCTACGAGGCCCTGGAGAGGTACCAGCTGGCCTACGTGGACTACAAGACTGTGCTGCAGGTGGACTGCTCCATACAGGCAGCACACGACGGTGTCAACAGGTAAGGCTGCATGGTGCTCCCGGCGGGTAACGCCAAAAGGCTGGGGAATACAGCAGCTGGCCGCTGCTGCAAGTCCTGCTTTGTTTCTGCAGCCCTGTCAGGGGCAAGCTAGGTCCCAAGCACACGGATGAAGCAACCGAGGCCTCTGACGCTTCACACAAGGCACAGGCCTGGCTGCACTCCCTTTGTCTGCTAGTGCCCTTAGCTTCTTTCAAGATGCTGCTTGAGGGCTGGGAATGAATTCCCTGGGACTGTTTCTGCTTTGCTTACTGTCTACTTCAAAACCAATAATAAACAACAGGCTTCAGTGCCCTATCTATTAAGACTCCCTATGCTGACTGGGTTTACAGGCTACTGTAGTCTTTTCTCTTCCTGGAGCTGTCTCCTTCACTTCATCACTTGCCAGGCTGAGGAGCAGTATGCACACCTCTTGCTTGGCTGAGCACTGACAGTTCCAGCCCTTGTCCTGTGGTATTTTTAGCCCTGCTGACACAAAGAAGCTTCTTTCATTAACGTCCTGTCTGTAGAAGGAACTTAGTTTAAATGCATGTAAAGGGGTTAGCAGAGAGATGCTGTCCTCGATACATGAGCTGGGTTAAAAAGTGACCCTAGTGGCTACTGCACGGCCCGTCCAGCCAACAGATGGGGTGACTGCCAGCTGTCTCTTCCAGGATGACTAAAGCCCTGCTGGAGAAGGATGGTGTGAACTGGCGCCAGAAGCTCCCACCAATCCCCACAGTCCCTGTTTCTGCCCAGACGAGGTGGAGTGTTCCTTCTGCTGGAGCCCCCGGGACAAACACTCCTCCTGCAACTGCACCTCAGGGAGGACCAGGTGAGAGCATGCCCTTGGGCTGGGCACAGAACCCTGTAGTTCAGAATGGTGATGAACAAGGCAGCTGCCACGCCTGCTTGGCATGTCTGCAGCTGGGGCTGAGGCCTGGAGAAACCTGGTCCTGGTCCTGCCAGAGCCTTTTTTGTTGATTCTGGATCCTTTGATGTTTCTGTGTCTCACCTCTGGTATGGGGATATTTGCTTTCTGAGAGGCTGTGCTGATCTTGTCAATTTTATAGTGTTCCGTATTCTTTCACGCTGTTTCCAGACCAGACTGCTGCTGGCACAGAGAGAGCTCGAACTCTGAAGGAAGAAGGAAATGAACTTGTAAAGAAGGGAAACCATAAAAAAGCAGTTGAGAAGTACAGTGAGAGTTTAAAGCTCAACCAGGAATGTGCGACTTACACCAACAGGTACTACTTGGCTCTTTGCCCAAGTACTTCTTGGCTTTTTATAAAAGCCACCATGGTGCTTCTGACAGCTGTCTAATGTTTGCTCCCAAACAAATGAATAAAACAAGAACACCCATACATGTTCGCCCCAAGTGCTGTCTTCCCTGTAGTTTGTATAATGTTCTTTGATCAGGTACTGCAGAAAGCCCCTGGAGACACTCAGCTTAGGGCTGGTAAGGGATTTCTACCTCTAATGCTTGTCTGTCAGGACTGTTATTTTGAGTAGTGTCTGCTGCCCCATGCACCACAAACTGCAAACTGCTATACTTAAAGACTCCTAAGGCAACTGCAGTAAGCAGAGCATATTCTAGACTGGTGTAGCTAGGAACCTGCATCCTTGAAGTGTGGATTCTGAGCTTTAGAGTAGGTTACTCTAAAAATTCTCTTTTTTTTCAGACTGAAAAACTGTTTCCTTTTTTCCCCCCTTTTAACTGAAACAAACTTGAGCTCAAGAAATAAGATTACATAACATATGAGGCTAAAGACTGTTTTGGAGTCCAGTTTTGTGCTATGCAGGGGTTGGCTGAGATCTGTTATGTATGTTGCAGCCGTAGATGCTGCTTTTAGCTGAAGATCTCTAACTAGGTAATTGTATTGCAGAGCTCTCTGTTACCTGACTCTGAAGCAGTACAAGGAAGCAGTACAGGACTGCACAGAAGCTCTGAGGTTAGATCCTAAAAACATTAAGGCACTCTACAGGCGTGCTCAAGCACTTAAAGAGCTGAAGGTAAGTCAGGAGGTTTTGAACAGTTTTAGGCTAGGACTAGAACCCTGTTCATGCATGACCAGGGCAAGAGACGCCGTTTAGAACTTGTTTCTGTGCTAGACAACATCTGCCATCAGCTAGTTGAGACCTGTCTGGACTGGGGGGAATTTTCTTTCACATTGCTATTTGATGGTTGGATCTCATGAGTTTCTCAGCACCAGGTCCTGTTTCTGGAGATACTGGAAGCAGCTACATGTTGTGTTGAGCTTTATCTTTTTTTGTGCCTGGTGAGAGATTCTCTAGGCAGTATTGGAAGACTTATTGCATTGGTGGTTGACTCGGAACCCACTTGAGCGATGAAATTGTCTTCTCAGCTGTAGTTTAAGCGTGTTTTAGAATGGCTACATTGATGCCAGTGCTTAAGCAATTATACAGAGGGAGTCATGGGCTTAGTTGTGTTGTGGGGTAGTAATTCTGCACCAAGAGCCTTAGACTGCATTTTCAAAGTACTAACACTTAAAAAATACTCTCCTTGTAGGATTACAAATCAAGTATTGCTGATATCAAGAGCTTGTTGAAAACTGAACCAAAGAACACAGCTGCACTGAGATTACTGCAAGAACTGAACAGAGCCTAGGGTAACCAAGCAACAAGGAAAGCTTTGTTTTCCACTGCAGAAGAAAGATTTTTCCCTTCTGATGTTGTTACAGGGACCAATCTTAATGCAAGATCGGTACTGAAATCTATCTTCCACTGCTGCAGATATGTAACAGGTTCTGTGCCAGCACAATGAATGTTAAGAGACACAATCGGTATCAAACTATTATCTAGCTCTAAGATCATTCAAAGTTTTAATGCCCCTCCCTGAGAGGCATATAGGTTAACTTCCCTGGTTAAAGTCAACTTGCCTGTAACTATTGGCCTCAGGGACTCTTTCCATGTTGGTGAAGGTGCATGTGAAATGGCTATTCTCTTTCTGAAGAGCTACAAACAGCTTTTTTTGTCCTTATTCAGATGACAGTCTTGCTGTGTTTGTGCTGCTATTACTTAAATAAGGTTGCTGCAGGAACTGCTGCAGTTGCCCCAGCACCATGTACCATTCTTGTAACAGGCACAGTTACTGGACAGGGCTGCGCTTGTTCCCTCTCCCACTTGATACCTGCTGGCCCTCAGCTGAGTTTCTGCTGTTTCAGGGCAGATGTTTACAGTAGCAGCTTTCTTTTATTTTTAATTATTCTGCACATTTAAGAAAACAGAAGCAAGTTAAGCCTGCCTTGTTACACTGTGCACTACTTCTTTCTGGGTGCTTGGGAATTTTACAATTGTTTTTTTGTGTTGTGTTGTTTTGTTTTTTTAAAACCACTTTAGCTCCTCTGTGCCTTTTGGAGCAGTTGCTACAGGGTGTTACAGGTAGGACGGTATGCAGTAACATCCCAGCTGAGGTCTGGCTTACTACTTCAATGCACGTTTATACTTTTTGATCTTTTCCTTATCTGGTATTGGTGGCACTGATGGTAGGTAAAGAGATATTTGGAGTTATTCTATGAACTGTTAAAACCAGTTCTCATTAAAGCCATGTTTATTTTCACTTCAGAGCTGTGTTTTTTACATGATGGATGGTATAGGGGAACTGGAACACTTTTTTAACCACTTCATACTGTCCCCCCTTTTTGTCAGAGGACTTCAAGGGCTGCTGTATAATACCTTGCTTTGGAAGCCAGCAGTCAGACAGTGACAATACATTGCTCAGCCTTGCACACTGTGCATAGGTACAGTGCTTTAACTAGTAAGTCAAGATGCTGGACAACACTTGACCAGAGCCAACTGCTTACAGTACAGACCAAGAGATGGGCCCTTCAGGGAGGAGCTGTTTCAAGCCCTGGCCCATTACAGCTGATGGAGTACAGCTCTGGGACCTACAAAAAACTACTTAATGTCAGGCTAAGATAAGAAATCTTTGTCTGTCTTTAATGGCATTAAAGTGATGCCTGCTTTCTAAATTAAGTTCAGTGGGGTACCTGCCTGAAACCCTGACTGCTGGGAGAAGTGAGTAAGGTGGGAAACAAAGATATGGCCATGTTGACTTACTAGTTAAAAGCATTGTACCCATGGGCACAAATTGCTCCATTCACTCCACTCCCACTTCTAAGCACCGCAGCTCCACTGATCTTGCAGCCAGCACTTGCTGGAGCTTTTAACAAGTAAGTGTGATGGATTTCAGAGTGGGGAAGTGCAGGCCAGCAGTACACAGATAAGTAAAGGAAGGTCACAGAATACAGGAGGAAGACTGGCTTCATTTAGTTAAAAGCTATCCTTTTAAGAGCCCTGCTGTTATCTGGAGTGGCAGATACCTGTACTGTTCAACTACAATTCATTACAACACCTCTAAGCAGCAGCATTCACCATCTCTTTCCCCTCCCAGCAACAGCAATGTGTTTTTGTACCTTATCTCTAAGGCTTTCCCCAGCAATACCACCAGGTAGACAAAGATCAAGCACAGCAACTAGACACGCTACTTCAAGCCCAGGTTCACTTCTGTCCGTATCTCCCTTTCTGTTCCAGCAACAGTGCTGCTGTCTGTGCTGGACGCTTCCCAGGCATGCAAAGGTAGTGCTGTCCACATGAGCAGCCAGAGCATGCTTGCTTGTCAGAGGCACACCTTCATCTACCCCTTTCAAAAGCCACAGCAACTATTCTAAACTAGAGATTCCAGATTCACATTTGCATTGCTGCTCCTGCCTCAACTCCCTAAAGCCTCAGGCTTCCCCAAGGAGTTCAGCCGGGAACTACCCTGAAAACTTTCCAGTATCTTCCAGAATACACGGGGATCCAAGCTCCAACTTCACCTTTTCTGATAAACATTTGAAAGACCCCCGTCCTTGTTCATGTCCTTTTTTAGGCTATTCTGATGCCCCTGTGTTCTTTGGCCGCACTCTGCATTCCCTCCAGCTTGACAGCTGTCCTCTTAAGCCAAGCCATCTGGCTTTGTAGGTGGTGTCACAGGCACATCTGAACTGGCCTGTTACACCTGAAAAAAGGTTGCAGACAAGCTAGCCAACAGCAGAATGAAGTTTACCTGTACAGTTCCATTCCAGCTTCTTATATGCATTACACTCATGCAAATACACATTTTTCCTCTAGAGACAAAGCATAAAAGCTTCCAGCCAGTTACACTTTGGGAGAAGTAAGAACTTAAATGAAGGTCCTGTATATTAAGTGGATTAAAGTCCTTTATAAGCATCTCACTGAGAAGGACATCTCTAGTGCACAGTTCACGTATCCACTATGAGGAAAATAAATATTCAAGGTCAGAGGAAGAATTGGCAAAATTAGGAATAATGAAAAGCCCCAGGGAAGAGTCCCAGCTGAGCAGAGCAGACACCATGCAGGAGCAAATGTGTAAGTGATTCTATTAAAATGCTGGAAGGAAAACAAGAGGTAGGAGGGATGACTCAGCAGCAAACTGAAGTGAGAGTATGATATAGCACAGAAGGAAGATTGAGACAGCAACACCAGCACACAAGTTGGACAGAAAGAAGGTAGGTGGTGCTGATGGAGGTGTGCTCTTGTCAGCTCAAGGAAGCAGTCAAGTAAGGTCAATACTTCATAGAATCACAGAATGCTTTGGGTTGAAAGGGATATTTAGAGATTATCCAGCCCAACCCCCCTGCAGTGAGCAGGGCCAGCTTTAACCAGATCAGGTTGCTCAGAGCCCCATCCAACCTGACCTTGACTGTTGCCAGGGATGGGGCCTCCACCACCTCTCTGGGCAACCTGTGCCAGTGCCTCATCACCCTCAGTGTAAAAAAATTTCTTCCTTATATCCAGTCTAAATCTATTCTTCTTTAGTTTAAAACCATTATTCCTTGTCCTGTCACAACAGGCCTTGCTAAAAAGATTCTCCCCATCTTTTCTGTAGGCCCCCTTTCAGCGCTGCCAGGCCGCACTCAGGTCTCCCCGCAGCCTTCTCCTCTCCAGGCTGAACACCCCCAGCTCCCCCAGCCTGGCCTCGCAG